GATTGGCACAGGACAGAGCAGAGTTTAGGGCTGTTGTACATAGGGTCGCTATGAGTCACAGGCGACTCGACGGTACATAACAACAATCATTAGAAATGGGTTACTGAATATATGTAAGTTTAAAAATGTATTAAAACTCTCATGAAGATAGGAAAATTAAGCCCATTAAGTGATTTTCACCTTAAGGCACTAGCTTTATCAATTGCCAGCTTTGGAAGGACTTAAACTGAACTGTTGGACAGCTTTATTCAGTAGTCATTTTGGCTTAGCAGGTTACGTATTACACTGCTTTGGAAAAAAACCTTTACATTTGTGTATGGATTTTATTTTGTAAATATAAATGGTGCTGGTTACATAGTAACTATGAGGCATTTTCATGATCATTTAGTATAACATGAAATCAGGGCTCTTCGTTACTGGATTGTATGGGTCAGTGGCCTCATTTTTTGTAAGTCTAATGAATGACTTAAAATCTGAGTAAAAAAAGTTTTGTTAGCTGTGCACGTAAAAAGAAATGCTCCTAAAATAATGCCTTATTTTCTGCCATAAAAAAACGTTCTTCCTTTTACTTGGGTAGTTGTTGATACCTAGTCCTTTATCCTGTTAAGACTTAAGTACATTTTCCAAATGTTTTATGAACTCTGAATGGTAGATAGATAACTACTATGGGTGTCAAAACTCATTGTAATTGAGTTAGAACTGACTCATAGTTGACTCCACTGAGTTCCCAAGGTTGTAAATTGGAGATTACCACTGGTCCATTTGAGCTGCTAAAGGTTAGCAGCAAAACTCCCTACGGACTCTGCCACCAAGAGGAGATTTTGACATGCAAAAATCAGTATATTAACTGTTAACTCTTAAAATTTATTTTGACCTCTGTACTAGATACTAAGTGTTTAAACTAGCCCCAAATTATTACTGAACTCTCCCATTCAATTTATGACAGGTAGACTGGCAAGCTGTAGAAAAGTTGAACTATCTATCTATCTGTCTGTCTATCTAAGCTTCACAAGAAAGAGTTGAATATAGAATGTCATTCCTGAGGTATTTACATTTTTTTGTTGTTGTTGTTGCTTTTTAGGTGGTCAAGGAGTTGCCCCTGGTCCTGTGATTGGTCTTCAGGCACCATCTACTGGTCTTCTTGGCGCGCGACCTGGCCTCATCCCGCTCCAGCGTCCTCCAGGAATGCCTCCACCTCATCTGCAGCGATTTCCTTTGATGCCCCCCCGACCTATGCCACCACATATGATGCATAGAGGGCCACCACCAGGACCAGGGGGCTTTGGAATGCCTCCACCTCATGGAATGAAAGGCCCCTTTCCACCTCATGGTCCCTTTGTTAGGCCTGGAGGAATGCCAGGGCTTGGGGGCCCAGGGCCAGGCCCAGGCGGCCCTGAAGACAGAGATGGAAGACAGCAGCCGCCACAGCAGCCTCCTCCACCACCACAGCAGCAGCAGCCACCGCCATCACAGCAGCCGCCACCAGCACAGCAGCCACAGCAGTTTAGAAATGACAGTAGGCAGTTCAATTCAGGTAGAGACCAAGAAAGGTTTGGAAGAAGATCTTTTGGAAATAGGGTGGAAAATGATCGGGAACGATATGGGAACCGAAACGATGATAGAGATAATAGTAATCGTGAAAGGAGAGAGTGGGGAAGGAGGAGCCCTGACCGGGACAGGCACAGAGACTTGGAAGAAAGAAATAGACGTTCTGGTGGGCATCGAGACAGAGAAAGAGATTCTAGAGATAGAGAGTCTCGTAGAGAGAAGGAAGAAAACCGAGGAAAGGAGAAATCTGAGACCGCAGACAGGGCAAGTAGTAACAAAACCGTTGAACTTCCCATTAGCCAAGTGGGAAATGTAGACACTGTTTCAGAACTTGATAAAGGGGAGGCTCAGACAACAATTGTAAAACCTTCTGAAGAGTCACCTGCTGAGGCTACCTCATCCGTTGAACCTGAAAAGGATTCTGGCTCAGCAGCAGAGGCTTCTCGTTGAGAGACTGCAATTTGTCAAAATGTGACAGTGACACTTCATGGAGTGTGTTAAAGAGTGTGAGGTGTACAGATGCTGTATTATATTTGCTCCTGCTATTTCACAGCCCTGCAGTAGTTGGTGGGGAGTTGTAAGCAATTTGATTGCTTCTCTTCTATTTAAACATAACCACAAAAAAATGCAAATAAATAATTACCATTTTTGCTGTAACTTTTTAAAAGTTTTGACTTTTAAAAGTTTACAAACCGTAAATTAGAAGTGCTATTTTTTTTTTTTTAATTTAAGACAAGGTAAATGGTGAAAGCTCCTCAAAACAATAGGGATGTTTTTAATAAACTCTATTTTCGTAACAAACATAAACGTGTGCTATTCTTCCTACACTGCATTAGGGTGGAATGGATTGTTCATCAATTTGAGCTGTTTATTCTGTATTGAAGTCTAAATTAGACTAAGATGGAAATAGATGTCTTTATGTAGTGAATCTCAAACACTTGTAATATTTTTTTTTTTTTAATTTTCAGCCTTTCAGTTAGGTGAAAGTTAGTGATTTTACTGTTAATTAAAAAACTCATTGTTAGTGTTTGCAGGTCATGCAAGGTGCCCTGCCATCGGCGTTGTGGACTGATGCCCTGCTTTGTAAAGAGAAATTTTACTGGGGATAGGTTGGATCCCATCGTTACACATTGTATTATAAATTGATTTCTTGAGTATTATTTAAAAGACGAGTTTGGTTTTTTATTTTATTGTCCTATTTTTTTAAAAGGGTAAACCCAGGTTAACATTTGTAACCTACAAGCTCTTTTTATCTTGTATGTTTGACTTAAATATGCAACCTCGTTTCCTCTTAAGTCTTTCCTGTTGCTATTCACCACTTTCTTGGCTTTATTTTGTTAAACTCCCTGCTGAATTTAACTTTTTTGTCAGACGGAATTCTTTTGCTTAATTGTTAAGTAGAAAAAGTTTTATGTGGTAATTAATAGGAAGACTTGCAAATCAAATCTTTGTCTTGAAGTATGAAAAAGCACTAAAACTGCTTACCCAGTGCCACGGAAAATCTCAAGTATTTAAGGCCTTATTTTAAAAGCTTTTTCTTTAAATGACATTTTCTTTCCCCATTTCAGTATGCTGGGAAGTTAATATTCCCTTCATGCCTAGGTGATGAAGCTGCTTTATTATTTCCGTCTTTGTGACAGAAACTACCTAGCGGTCTAGTCTTAAAGGGGATTGCACTGCTCTGCTAACCCTAAACCTATCCTCTCTGGTATACATCCTGACTCTGCCATTCCAAGGGAAAGCAGCATCTGAATTACGACCCCCCCCCCAACCCCTCTGGCGGGTCAGCTATGAATTTGAACTCCAAAGCAATGAGACCTGAACAGTGCTCCTGTGTTACTGCCAAATATTTTCAAAAAGAAATGTCACATCTATAAAAATCTGTCCTTGTTTTATGCTGGCCAACTTATCCAATTTGATTGCAAGGATCTGTAGCACTATTTCCAGTATATACTGAGACACCTCACTCACTCCCATTTACACATGACAATTAGAACCCTCAAAGTAGAAGCCTTCAGTAAGTCTACCTTTGTATTCAAATCTTACCTTACAAATAAATTATACATGAATGAAAGCTATTACTAGGTACTGTTCTAGTTTTTAAATTCTTTATTGGATTAAGTCATTTTAATGACTTACTAAGACCCTGCTATTATCACTTTACCAAGGTAAAATTTTGAAAATATCACAAATTATAATTTTCCAATTTAGATTTTCCTTTACAGAATGACCAAGATTTTATAAATTGCATCATATATTTATGAGGTTAATATAGCATAAAGCAAAAATAACATTCAGTAAGTCTTAACTGATTATGCCAAGTCCAAGTTAGATTAGCAAGTCATTTAATTGTGTGAAAATCCTTAAAAGTCTTAAAATGGTCAGAACCCAGTCAATTCTTCCCTTGACTGGACATTACAATTTTTTTTTACAATGTTCTTTAAAGAGCTAAGCCAAAAGATCTTGCCACTCCAATTTTACTATATAAATGGTCACATATCTACAAAATGGAGTATGTGCCATTTTGCAAAAAAGTAAAATTTATCTTACATTTTAGAACTTTAAAAGTTAACAAAAGAGCTGAGTCTCTAAACTTTAGCACCTATCTTCCTAAAAAACTTTAAAATGCAAAATATTAACTGGAAAAATACTTTCATTCTCCTAAAACAGACAAGGAAACCCTATCTGGAGAATAAACTGGTCAGGACTTAACTAAAAGTGAGTAACCTTTTATACATAGTGATTCTCTCATTTAAAATCTTTGCAAAAGTGAGCTCTAGGAAACAGTTACCATCCAGTATCATAATACAATTTGGAAGCAGGAGTGGCATCCACTTCCTAAACAACAACTTCCTTCTGTTCTTAGGGTCACTATGAGTCGTGCTCAACTTGATGGCAATCACCAACCACCACCACCACCAAAATAATACTGTTTCATCCAAGACCTAAATGGGAACTGATTCAGAGTTTTAATATGGACTTGTTAATAGGTTCAAAATACATTGCACCCAAGTAGGGTATTTGTTTATTCACAGAATTGAGAATTAAAGACAGCAATCTTTAATACTCACATGTGACTATGGCAAAAATATCGCTGAAATGCATTTTAACAGAATGATCATTTTATAAACTCAATCTTTCAGGTGGTCATAAGCATTCTAAGGCACTTTTTTAAAAAGCAAATACAAATAGTCAGACAAACTTTTAAAAGTACAGTGTTTTAATGTTTGCCAGGTTAAGTTTCTACAGCTAGCAAGATAACAGATGAGTTACTGGGACTCAGACCATGTCCCAGGGAATGTTTACTGGGCGATCCCAATTACACCACAAGCCAAACGGCTTCCAGCATTTCCAGTCTTTGTACTTTCTTCATTTCCACCTCGGCCCAAGTCATCCGCTTTCTCGTGGACCTTAAAAAAAATTTAAGAACATGTAACTGGGCTATTAATTACTTCTTCCCTACACCACCCAAAATACTTCTTAAGAACAACTTAATACTAATTAGGGAAATAAGATGCTAAAATAATCCTCTTTTTAGTAAGGAAATGCACTCATTATTTACTAGTAAAATAGAAGTTCCTATAAAAAACGTTCTCTTCATGGTGCAAAAATCTAAACTTTAATCTGCACAGTAGGTAAATAATAAAAACCCAAACTGTGTGTTACAGGCCACGCCACACACTGATAATCATAATCCTCCAAGATAAAAAGTACAGTGACTTAAGTTACAGTAGTCTTTTCTAGTATAAATGACTTTGGGGAAAAGTAAAAGTGTATAAACTATCAAAAATTTGTATCTACTAGAATTAGCTATAAGAAAGGAGCAATCCTAAAAATAAACTAAGACTGGATTTCTAAGTTTTGTTTACCAAGTATTTGTAAATATAATTGTTCTGCTTCACAACTACAGCTAACAAAAATTCAAAGGGTAAAAGGTCAACTAGAACTGACTCTCTTAACTGTCCTCCGGTAATCAAAAGTGGAGATGCTACTGGTGGCATGCATGAACCAGATGTAATTTGGGGGAAACTTCTTCCCTGTTAACTGGCAATCTGGACTTCAATGCATATTAATGCTAAAGTATATCTCATTTTGTAAACAGGTGAAACCTAGTTGTGGCAAGAAAACTGGCAGCTAAAAAAACTAAAGAGTTTGTTACAATTCAGAATACGGTTAACCCCCCTTTATTATTCCATTTTAACAATGAGTTAAATGAATGAGTCATAATTAGGTGAACACTTACCACCATTGTGCGGCCAATGACAGAATTCTCTCCGGAGAGTGAAATCACAGAGTCTACAATAGACACGTGGGCCACACCATCTTTACCAGCAGTTACATTGCCTAGGTCTCCAACATGCCTTACATTGGAAAACACATTAATATGGGTTAAGACTAACCTAATCTATTTAACCTAACATCCCGTTAGCTCATAGCTAAACCAAAACTCAATGGAGTTAGATACTTGAGACTATATTAATATATAAATACTTAAAATAACAAATAATCACCTTTCTAGAACTGGAAATACCCAAATCAAAACTGAAAACCCAGACATTCTAGTCATATAGCTCTTAAGGAATGGCTTCAAGTATACGAATTAATGCTCTGACAAGTCATGGGGTAGGACAAAGTAACAGGAAATTTGTTGATGAGCTTTGCTTAGAAAGGTTACTGGCATTACTGGGAGAACTATACTCTCAGACTTCTGGTACAAATCTTTGTCTTTTAGTTGTCTTTTAAAAGGCTTTCAGAAAACACACAAATGGGGTCTCACCTACGTTTCAATAGAAATTCTACCTACAAAACCTGATTCAAATGATGGTTTATTTCCCTAACAGTGGACAATACTGTTATTCATGATACTTTCTGTATTAGTTCTCTGTGGTATTTGTATTAGTTCTGTATTCAATAAAGGCTACAAAACCAAATTGTTTTAAGTGTCCCCATTTGTCAATTCTTTAGCCTCACATTAGCCACAGCACTTGAGGCACATGGGATTGTGTATGGAGCAATACGCTGCAGAACTGAGATGGGATAGATCAGTTATCTTAGCATGCAACTTGGGAAATAATATCCATATTGATCTAAAAAAAAAACCCTCCTTATATGTTACAATATGAGTCAAACATCTTGTCACTCACCTCTCTTCATCCTCTGGTCCACCATGTTTTTTGGATTGAGGATTAAAGTGAGGGCCAGCACTGGTACAGCCTATTTACACACCCAAAGACGGGCAGGGGAAGGTGGGAGATGGGAAGGGAATGACAACAGCTCAATTTTAAATCATACTTTGAGAAAGAAACTGATCATTGGTAAGTCCTCCAATGCAGAAAATACTAGGGTGTAAAATACTACCCTATTGTAAAATTAAGTGGATAAGACACAGGGACAAGTTCTAAATTCTATATGACACTGGTAAAGTGGCTCTTAAAATCAACAGGAATATGAATATATCCTTCTTTGGGCTTTGAATTTTTCCACAGTAAAAATACAGAGGCTTAACTTTTAATGGCGGTTCTACTGTTAAAATTCTATAGTAATGATGTTAGTTTATAAGGCAGTAGCATACCTAAACTACAAAAAAACCCGACAACTCAAAACTCTTTATTAATAACGTATTGCTAGTGCTTGGCCTTTAATCTGGTATATGTAGCCTAATATGATGTCCAGAACCAAGGCCTGCTGTCTGGCACAGTTCTAGGTAGCAGGGATGCCATTCACAAATGCCAACAGTGTAAAGGTGGTCTTGACGTGGCTTTCTTCAGTAACTAATAAAAATTTCCACTGTTTACAGCCTCTTAGCCAGTCTCCTGGGAGTCCAGCATAAGAAGGTACAGGAAGTAGCAAGTCAGTCAAAGCAATCATCCCCCAAAACCAGGGTAAAAAAACCCATGAAGTAACTTGGGGAATTTTAGTAATTACTGAGAGGAATCTGGCCATTGGAAAAAGTTTTGAGAATAGTAGTAAGGGCTTATCAAAATGAATCAAATTATCAGAAAAGCATGTAAACACAATTCATTTTATTCAAACAGAGCAAATGATCAATAGATTTACTTTAACCCACAAACTTTCATAAATATGCTTTTAATCCCAAATTGAGAAAATTAAACTCACTCCAAAGCAACAAGAATTTTCCATTGTTGATTGGTAGCCTACTTTTTTATCTCCTTAAAATATCTTGTGCTAGGGAACATACATGGAACTATTCTTACAGGTCACAGAAGTAAATGCAGACTATATGCTTTAAAAACCCACCCTCAGGCCTCAAAGGATCCCTGATTGGCACAGTGATTAAGCATTTAGTTGCTGAATGGAAAGTCTGAAGTTCAAACCCACTAGCCACACAGTAGGACAAAGATTTGGCAGTCTGCTTCTGTAAAGGTGTGCCTGGAAATTCTATAGGGCAGTTCTACTCTGTCATCTGGGGTCACTAGAACAGGACAGTATTCAACAATTCAGCTTATATACATGGGAACACTACAGAAGGTAACAAGGTAACTTAAAGAGTTTTGTTTTCTTAAAAAACAGGCGAGACTCTTTAAAAAAAAATCCTGATAGTAAAAAAACCAATTCTTTGCAATTCCTCACCACACTTTTCCCAAACTACGGTTAACCTTAACAATCAATTTCAATGATCAGGGTTACCCTACACAACCCTGTTTATCTTGCTAGGTGGCACAAATATGATTCTCCAGACCCACAGAATACCTACCTTGTGTATTATCTCCAAACTGGTGCACGTGGAATCCATGGAGACCTTCTGTCAATCCTGTAATGGAGCCGGATACCGTGACTGGCCCATTATCCTTTATTTAAAGAAGAGTTAAGTTTGAGAGAGCAAGAGCTTCTGAACAATGACAAAAAAATTGGTATTGCCATCATTCACAGTGAAAAGCAATGTCCTAATCCAAACCTCAGGTCCACATTCTCGCACTAAACAAGCAGCCTGCCTGCTATAGCTTCAGTGTGTCCTGGTCTAAGGGAGAGGATTATCACACTGTAAGGGCAGGGCCCCTAAGGACTGGCATGATGATGAAACAAAACAGCCTATATAAAGCACCAAGCAGAGTGCACAGTGAGCAAGTAAATTATATAGGGTCTGTTTTACAATGACTATGTAATGAGTATATATATA